GAAGAAAAATCCACATATATATGAAAAAAAACACTGAATGCTCTCTGGTATTGTTCAAGGGGCCAGACCAAATGAGGAGGCAGGCCAGATCCAGCCCACTGGCCATAGCTTGGGGACCCCTGGTGTAGAGGGATTTGTTAGTGTGTGTCTCACCTGACATGTTCTGTAATTTAGGAAACAAATTGTTCCACAGATGACACTCATTAGCTTTTAACATCTTCTTTACTCCTGTACTGTCGTCATTCAAACTGAGATACTCCTGAGTGTTCGCTTTAAACAACGGCCAATCACCTCCTTTAAACTTTGGATTTCTGAAAAAGTAAAACAAGAGTTTTTAGGTTTCTCACAATCCCTGCATGAATGACTGAGAATCTAATTAGCCTACCCAGTCCGGGCAAAGTCGCCGTAGTGCTGCATAGTCTTGTTGGCCAAAGTAATTTCATCCTGTTGGTACTTCAAGACAGGATTCAGAGGCATCCCAAAGACAAATTCTATCTCGTAGCCATGCATAGCACCCGCCCATTTTGGCCAGGGATTTTTGGATGACACATGGTCAAAAAAATAAAAAAAGGTCTTACCACCACGTTCTGCATACCTAAAAAAAATAATAACATCACAATAAAAACATCACATTTGCATTTCCTTAGAAATGTTGCCAAAGTCCAGGTGACCTATTTATTTCAGTGCAGATGAAGCCCCAAACAGAACTCTGACATTTGAAACCCTTTTGTCTAAAATAGGACCACATCTCACTATTACAGCCACATGTAAGTCTTGATACTAAAAGAAAAGTATTGAGCCACCTCCAATTTTATTTCAGCTTTTTTTTTAGTATCATGAACTGTATAGTAGCTGTATAAATATATATTATGATTTTGGTACAAGCATCATCTAAAGAATCCATTATTTATTTTTGGTCTTGAAACACATTGACAACATCAAATAATTAAAGGTTTGACAACTAGAGTTGTTCTGCACTGTAACTAACCAGAACAGTTGTTTTTTTTTGTTGTTTTTTTTGTATTCTTGATATTTTTGTAAAGATAAGAAAACATTCATTTCCCATAATGTATTGTTACCACCTTCAATTTTTTTTCTTTATAATTTGGCCAATTACCAAGACAACCTTTATGCGCAGGCATATTAAAAAGTGTCAGTGTTACTGAAATGTGTTAAAAATTCATCAACTCAAACATTAGAGTAACTACTGATGTTTTAATCCCTTATTTCTGGTAATTGTGATGATTTTTGCTGACAGATCATGAAATGACATAAAGGATTAGAATGTTACATCAGACCAATTAAACAAAACATTAAATCCATAAATGTGGCGTAAAGAAAGGTATGTTAATAACTGCTTAAAAGTTATTTTCAAAAGGCTTTTCTAATCTGAAAAACAAGCCTCAATGAAATACACATTTAAATTTATTGAATATGACTGTATGTCATTGGGATTTTTTGTGATGGATTTATGCAATAAGTACATAATTTTGAAGTGTAGGGAAAATTATGTATTTCTTTTTATTATTTTGGAAAGTTTACCTGTGTTTGATCAAACATATCTACACCAGTTAGAACAGAGGATATTTTTTCTATATAAAAGTATTTATCACCGTATTTTCCGCACTATAATGGGAACCTTCAATGAATGGCCTATTTTAAAACTTT